ACACTGGACGATGGAGCTGGGACCCACTGCCCCCACCCAAGGGACACTGGACGATGGAGCTGGGACCCACCACCCCAGAAACCCCACACACCCAAGGGACACTGGACAATGGAGACGGGACTCATCACCCTTGATACCCTGCGCACCCAAGGGACACTGGACTATGGAGCTGGGACCTCCTCCCCCTCCTGACACCCCCCGCACCCAAGGGACCCTAGCTGACGGAGCGGCGACCCACCACCCAGGATGAGGTCGCCAGAGGGAAGAAGGAAGCCCTCATGGCTGCTAAGTCACTGGGGGTCCCATGTCCCTCTTGATGGGGCACTGCCATGCCCAGCACCCCCTTGGCCTGCAGGGAAGTGGGGCAGGAGGGGGCCCCACAGCGGGGAGGCATTGAGTAAATTCTGGGGGGATAGGACCCGGTGGGGAGGGGAGCTGACAGCGGGGGAGAGGGGGATGAGAAGGATTCAGCTCACTGCTGCTTCATGGTGGGGTCATCTCTTAGGCCACCGTTCACCCCACTGATCTGTGTTCTGTCAGCCATACCCCTCCTCCCCACAAGCCAGACAGTCCTCTGCCCTGGGGCCACATTGGAGCTGGTGCCCTCTAGAGGGAACAGACCCCATTTCCCATTCCTTGCCCCCCTGAGCCAGCTAGTGTCTGCCCTGGGGCCGGATGGGAGCCAGCGCCGCCTAGAAGTGAAAGGCCTGTGCCCCTACTCTGTTTAGGGACCAAAGGTAACTTTTATTTGGGTGGGGTAGCTGGTGGGGAGCAGCCCCTGCCCTGATCCTCCCCCTGGCAGGAGCAGCTGGAGGCACTGTCTCTAATGCCCGGGGGGAAGCTGCTCTGGGTTTGCTCTTCCCTCCCCCCCACCCCATGGCTGCTCTGGTTCTTTGCACATTCCGGGGGGGGGAGCCAATGGGTAATAGCCCCCTTGCATGGGGGCCCTGAGCCTTCCCAGCATGCCTCTGAGCTCCCCCACAGGGCTACCCCTTCCCATCCAGCCCCTGACCTCCCCTTGGGCCGATCGCTGCAGCCTGGGGAGCAGAGCGCTGCCCCCATTGCTGCATGGGGGGGTGTGATCCTAACTCAACCCCCTCTCCTGCTCCCAATTCCTCCCCTCTCCACACGGCCCTGCACCGGCTCCCTTGGCTGGGCCCTGCCTCCTCTGGTGTGTGGTTTGAGGATCCCCAGTGGGATGGGGCAGTGGGATGCAGGGGACCAGGGGTGAGCTCCCCAGAGGGCTGGTGATGAGGGGTGCCTGGGTCTGGCCTCTCACTCGGGGAGGGAGAACGGAACGTCTCCGGTCTCAGTTCTTCAGGGATCTTTGGGGGGTGGGATGTGGGGTTCACCCCCTTTCCTGGGGCCCTCTGCTGCTCTGGCTTGTACATACTGACCACGCCCCTGTACATAGCTATTTAAGTCCAGTCCCGGGCTTTCCCCCCACCCCACCCCACCCCACCCCGTGCAGCGTTACTTTAACCCGGTGAGTCTGTTCCAGCCCTGAGGAGGGCCGGCCTGACTGATGGATGTCCTGACAGTGTAAATAAAGAGATTCCATACGCCACCCACCTGCCTGGCTCCCTCGCTCTGCCCCACGGTGACCTGAGGGGGGGGCTGGGGCTGTGGGGCCTGTTGCCAGGCTGAGAGCCCACCAGCTCGTTATACCACAGGGGCAAAAGAACAGCCACGGACAGCCCGGGGTGGGGACAGGGGGACATACTCCTCAGCCAGCCCACCCACCCGCACCGTGAGGCTTGATCTCAGCTAGTACCCCCTAGAGGGAAAAGGCCCCATTCCCCACCCCGTGAGCCAGCCGGTCCCCTGCCATGGGGCTTGCACCCCCTAGGTTGACAGTGGTTGAAGGTGGAGGCTAGGGGGTTGATTGGAGATCAATGCCCTGAGTGCTGGCACCCCCTAGAACCTCCTGCTCCTGGCTTGGATGTGGATTTCTGGGAGGGGAGTGGGGTCTAGTAGTTACAGCAGGGAACTGGGAGCCAGGACTCCTGGGTTCTCTCCCAGCTCTGGGGGGTGGGAGAGGCAGGGTGTGTAGCAAGAGTCCTGGGAGAGAAGTGTCCTGTAGGCGGGCTGGTGTCTCCACTGGGCCAGGGCTGGATCCACCCCTTTGCTGGAGATGTGGGGGCCCCCTGAGGGTGTCCCTCTGTAGGACCCCAACTCCTTCTTGGCCCACATGTGGCAAAACCAGCTGCGTATGGATTAAGGCAACCCCTGTCCATGACCTCCCCAGGAGCTGGAGGGCTCTGCTCACCCCATTTGCTGCACCCCAAACCCCCCCTTCAGGTGTGGAGTTGGTGGGGTTCCCCCAGAGCAGTGGGGGTGGGATGGAACACCCCATTGAGATGCATGGGACAGTTCTCCCTCTGCCATCAGTGGGCTCAGGCTCTCTGCAGACCCAGGCAGCATCGGTCACACTGAGGGCACCTCCCCCTTGCCCAGCCATTACTTCTGTAACTGGAAACTGAGTGTCTGCAGGGATCCCTCTGTTCTAGGCTGTGATGTCCCAGCAGGGACCCCAGTCCATCTCTGCCCCCACAAAGCCCCCCTTCACTCGCAGCTGCCTCCCATGGGGGACCCCAGCTAGAAAGGCCAAGGAACAGCGTGAGGGTGAATGTCTCCTAGCCCCACCTCACTCCCCCCTCCCCCGCCCCCCGGTGAGATGAAACACAGAATCTCCTTTCAAAGCCTTTAATCAATGCTCCTTGCAGCTCTGTAGCCCCCCTCAAAGAATGGGGGGCTGGTTTCAAGGTGAGGCAGCAGCTTAATTCTACAGGTAAAAAATAGTTCCTGGGGTGAGGAATTCTCTGGAGGCTAGGATGGAGGGCAGCAAGAGGGGAGGCTGGTATATGGGGGGGTTGCTTGAATGGCCCTCAGGGGGTACGTGAGTTCAGGGGGCTCTGCTCCTAGCTGGGGGGGCTCCTGGCCTCTGGGACTGGAGTGTCACTCGGTGAGTTTGGGGGTTCAGGGCTGAATTTGGAGGATCATGGTCTCTGGGATGGGGAGGGATCTGCTGATATTCTGGGCTTTACTGCACCAGGGTCCACAAGTTGGGGGGTTGAATCAGGTCTCATTTTGGGGGGAAGTCACCCCTGATCATGGTATGGGGGGCCCTTTCCCTCTACTCCCCCTGGCCTCACAGGGCCATATGGGCCCAATCCTCTCGTGCTCACAAAGCCATAGAGGGGTGTACAGGCCACCCTGCTCACAGGACTACAGAGAGAAGGGATAGGGCCATATAGATCCCCCCACCTCACACAGGGCCATAGAGAGGTTTTTGGGCCCACTCCCACAGCTGTAGAGGGGGTGTTTAGCCCATACCTAGCTGTATGGCCCCAACCCTCGCTCACAGGGCTATACGGGGGTGTTCGGACCATATCAGGCTGTATGGCCTCCCCCGCCCACAGAGCCATATAGGGCCACAAGACCATAGCAGGCTGTATGGCCCACCCTCCCCCATGCTGCTCACATGGCTACAGGGGTGTCAGGGCCATATCAGGCTACATGAGCCACCCTGCTCCCAGGGGTGTTGGGACCATATCGGGCTGTATGGCTCCCCCCCCGCCCCGCTCACAGGGCCATGTAGAGGGTGATGGGGCAGTGGTCACTGCCCATGGCCTGGGAGCGGATCTTGCTGTCGCACAGCACCCCCAGCAGGCGCGTCGAGACCAGGAAGTAGTCAAGGCGCCAGCCCACGTTCTTGGCGCGAGCATTCATCATGTAGGTCCAGAAGGTGTAGGCATGGGGCGTGTCAGGGTAGAGGTGGCGGAAGGTGTCGGTGAAGCCAGCTGTCAGCAGCTCCCCGAAGCCCTGGCGCTCCTCAGGCGTGAAGCCTGCCGACTTCTTATTGCCCTTGGGGTTCTTCAGGTCGATCTCGGTGTGGGCCACATTGAGGTCCCCGCACAGCACCAGGGGCTTGCGAGCATCCAGCCCCCGCAGGTAGGCCCGGAAGGCGGCGTCCCAGCGCTGGCGGTACTCCAGCCGCACCAGCCCCCGGCCCGCGTTGGGCACGTAGGCTGTCACCAGGAAGTGCGAGGGGAACTCAGCCGTTATCACCCGGCCCTCCTGGTCGTGCTCCTCCTCACCTGCCGGGAGACACGGGGCGCGCGTCAGAGGGCAAAGGGGAGAGGCCCTGGGCACGGGGGCATGGTCAGGGGTCAAGGGAAAGGGCCATGGGTGTGGGGGGATGTATGGACAAGGGGAAAGGCCAGAGGGCCTGGCTGAGGCTGTAGGGGGCGCAGAGAGGGATCGGCAGGCAGGGCTTGGCAGCAGGCAAAGGGGTCTGCAGGCAGAGGTTGGTAGGGGACACAGTGGGCAGGGAGCACAGGCTCAGCAGGCAGAGGCTGGGGGGCGGGGCAGGTCCCTACCGATGCCATAGGTGATGCTGAGCGGCTCAGTCTTGCAGAGCAGCGCCACCCCGCTGTAGCCCTCCTTGGCACCGGCGCAGGCCCAGTACTTGTGGGGGTACTCAGGCATCTCCCGCATCTCGGGGGGCAGCAGCTTCTCTGCACACTTGGTCTCCTGCAGGCACAGCACGTCGGGGTCCTCCTCACGCACCCACTGTGTGGGGAGAGTGGGGTCAGCGGGGCTGGGAGCCTGGATTCCCTCCCCAGCCTTGGGAGAGAAGTGGGGCTAATGGTTGGGGGGGGACATGAGAGCCAGGATTCCTGGGGTCCATTCCTTGGGTAGAACATGATGTCACAGGTGCCCCACTGCTCTCCGACTCTGCTACTGCCCCCCCTCTTCTCAGGAACCCCCCGGATCCCTTTCTCTGGGAACCTCATATGATGAGGAAGAGAACCCAGGTATCCTGCCCCCTCAGCTCCACCCCACTTCCCTCCGGTTTATCCCTTCCCTCGGAGCACACGCATCCTCCCTGCCCCTGGCCATGGATCTCCGGTGCTGGTTGCTGGGGACCAGCCGGACCAGCGACAGCACTTTCAGACCAGTAAAACCGCTTCCACGCTACGGACAGTCACAGATCCAAGGCCAGAAGGGGCCAGTGGAATCATTTCATCCGACTGCTTGGATAGCACAGGCTGGTGAACCGCCCAGCAACAATTCCTAGCGCAGAGCTGTTCAAAATTGCCAGGGATGGAGAATCCACCACAACCCTTGGCACACTGTTCCAAATAGTCACCTTCATTATTAAAAATGTACCCCTTATTTCCAGGCTGCATTTGTCAAGCTTCAGATCCCAGAAGTAAAATAACCTCTCTGCACCTACTCCAGATTAGCCTGTTTCTACATCCCGGAGTCGTATGACTCCTGCAGGCCCCAGCAATATCCAGCTACTTATCCGCCCTCACCCCCAAACCTTTTCCAGACTTCAGACCCATTTGAACGATCCCACTGGAACCAAGCCAGGTACAAATCCGTCTGTGGACCAAGCTCGAGAGAATCAGCCATTCATGAACCCATGTTAACTGCTTCAGTTTTTTACAGCTGCAACATTTTCCCCTGTCCAGCGGGATTTGGGGGATGACAAATGTCAATTTTGAGTTAAAATTTCATTCTGGGTTAGGAAAAGCAAACGTATTTGGAGATTTAGGACACCACCCCCTCCCGGCCCCAATCCCCATTTACTGATGGAAATGTAACAGAGACAGGATGCCTAGGATTCAAATTGCTTGTTTTTCTCCTATTCTAGGACGTCTCCAAACGTCTCTACTTTTGGAGAAGAGTTAGTGAGTGCCGAAGGGACTAGGAGTCCGGGGCAGCAGAACGGGAGGGGCCACTAAGAAGCTCTGTGTCTCTGACACTAGGTGACTTTTCCAACACACGCCAATGTTCCCACAGCCCAGCCGTTGTTCACTGTACTCAATTTGGAGGCACAAAGCAGGAGAGGAAAATGGAATAAATCTAAAAATCCCAAATTTCTGGATTTCCAAAAAATCTCCAAATTGAGAATGTGGGAATCCAAACTCCAGGTGGAAAATCTGACCCATGAAATTCACTGCGAAATCCCACCCCCAAAGCCTGGAAGATTTTTTCTGCAGGGAAAAAATCCCAATCCCTAACTCGGCTAGAGCATTTCTCAGCAGAGCTCAAAGGAGATCAGGATCCTTATCCCCACTGCAAAGGTGAGGAAACTGAGGCATAAGGCAGGGAAGGAACTGGCCCAAAGTCACCTAGCAGGTCAATGGCAGAGCCAGAGAGAGAACCCGTAAGTCCTGGCTCCCAGCCCCCGCTGCTGTAAGCTCTCTAGCTGTAGTCACTAGGCCACAGGGCAGGCTCTGCAGGGGCAGGGGTGGCCTTAGCCCCTGGCACCCTGGTACTACCCGCTGTAGACCAGGGCCCCAACCCGGGTGGTCCAAACTGGGGAGGAGCTGCCTAGCCCAGCGAGGACTGGCAGAGCCCAGTGCCTGGGAGAGCCACTCCTACCTCCAGCCCCTTCTTCTTGACCCAGGCCCGGAGCCCGTCCACGTTCCACGACGTGACCTTCAGGGTGTACTTCTGCCCACTGGGGGAGGTGAGCTTGTTGGGCGGATCCTGGTACAGGATGGGGCCCTCTGCCACCTTCTCCTTGAGGCCCTTGGCTGCCCCCTTCTTGCTCTTCTTTACCTCGGGCTCTGGGGAGAGGGAGAGAGAAGGAAAGCTGGGACATGGCACTGAGCAGCCAGGGGGGTGCCAAAAACATAAGAATGGCCCTACTGGGTCAAACCAAAGGACCATCCAGCCCTCCTAGCATGATACACAAGAAATGATGGGGGAGCGCCATGCCGCAGGGACTGGGGCGGGGCTTAGAAGGGGGCACCATGCCACGGGGAGTGCAGTGGGGAGCACATGAGAGGGAGCAGGGAGGGGTTGCCGTGCCACGGGGCTGCGGTTACCTGTGGCCTCGAGCTCGTCCGCGCTGTCCACATCCTCTGCCTTCTTCCCCCGTTTGGGCATCTCTCGCCACCAGGTGGGCCCTGCGCTGAGGAGCCGACACCGCTGAGCCACGAGCCACAGGATCGTGGGGGCAGCCTGTGGGGGAAGTGGGCAGGCACAAGGCAATCAGCATCAGGGGCACAGGCCACAGACCCAGCAGTCCAGAGAACTAGGGAGGACAGGCCAAATGCCCATTCCCGCTCCCCAGCCAATCACAAACCTTCTTGCGTTAGTCTCCCCGATCCCTAGCCAATCGCAGCCCTGCTTGCACAATAAACACCCACGCCCATGGCCAACAAACACCGACCTACCTGGCCGATCACATCCCTCGTAGCATAATTCCCACCCGCTCTCTGGCCAATCACAGAGCTCCTTGAACAATAAACACCCACCTATCTGGCCAGTCGCGGCCCTTCCTGCACAATAAAAACCGACCTCCCTGGCTAATCTCAGCCCTCGCACGCAATAAGCCCCCGCCCGTCTCTCACCGCGCGGCTCCCGGCCAATCAGACCCCGCTCCGATCCCCGTGCGCCCCACTACCCGTCCGGGAACAAAGCGCTGGACGGTCCGACCGAGACACGTGCGGCAGGATCACGTGCCGGGGAAGGGCGGGGCTAGAGCGCCACGCTATCACGTGTCTGGGGCCTGGGACTGCGGCGGACTGAGAGGGGACGGGAATGGGCGGGACTGCTGTGTCACGTGAGGACGGAGGGCTAGGAACTCCGATGTCACGCGGGGCAGGAGTGGGCGTGGTAATGGCACTCCGGTCTCACGTGTTGCGAGACGGGCGGGGCTCCGCTGTGACGCGAGTGCGGGAGGCCCCCGGGCTGCCCCTGCCGCGCCGGACATGCCCGCGGTGACGGTGCTGGGGCTGGAAGGCAGCGCCAACAAGGTGGGGGCGGGGCTGGTGCGGGACGGGCGGGTGCTGAGCAACCCCCGCCGGACCTTCGTGCCCGCGCCGGGCCAGGGTGAGCCGGGTCCCCCCGTACTTACCCATCCCCCTCTGTCCGCTCCCATCTGCGCCCCGGCCCCCCCTCCTTACTCATCCCCCTCCGCCCGCCCCCATCCCGCTCCGTCCACCCCCAACCCCCCCGTCCTTACCCATCCCCTCTCCGTCCACCCCTGTCCGCCCCCAACCCCCTGTGCCCAACCCCCCCGTCCTTACCCATCCCTCCTCCATCCGCCCCCACTGCGCCCTGCCCCCCCCACTGCGCCCTGCCCCCCCCCGTCCTTACCCATCCCTTCTCCGTCCGCCCC